GACGCTGGTGCACGGCGACTTCAAGATCGACAATTTGGTCTTCCACAAGACGGAGCCGCGGGTGATTGGTATCTTGGAGTGAGTCGTCATTATCCTGGCAATGTTTTCTTTGATGTTGTGACACTGACTTGCGATTAACAGTTGGGAAATGTCGACCGTCGGTCACCCACTCTCTGACATCTGCAACTTCCTGACCAACTTCTTCACCGCTAAGCATGCCGGCGCCACGCCGAATGATACTTCTGGCTTCCTTCCGGGCCGCACGCCAGGCCTGCCCCAGCCGGACGATATTCTGGCCTGGTACGGCGGGGAGGCTGGATGGAACCCCTCCCCGGACATGGGCTGGGGCATGGCGTTCAACATCTGGCGACTGGCGGCAGTCTGCCAGGGAATCGCGGCGCGGTATGCAGTGAGGCAGGCCAGCAGCGAGAAGGCCAAGAACTATGTGGTGACGCAGAAGCCGCTGGCCAGGTGTGCCTGGAGTCTGGCGAAGGAGGTGAGGGACGGGAAGTCGAACGAGCTGGCATCCAAGCTCTGAGACGGTGGTAAAGGACGGTTGAGGGTGAACAAGAATCGGAGGCATCAAGAGGGTCGGTATTATACAGTATCTCGTGGCGTTATTTGTTCGCGGACAAAATTCAAGTATCTTTACAATCTGCGAGGATCTACAGGCTGTTGCGATTTTCAAATCCATATATTCTACCGACTGGTAGGCAGGTTTACTTGCCAATCGATAATTGAAAAAGAATAAATTTACATAAATTACACGAATATCCTACCGCGTCCACTCGTAGGATTCTGCCGACAGCTCGGCTTCTACTTTGAGATATCAGTGTGGTTACTCAACAAGATCGGGCGACACTTGATAGGCCTCATTTGGTGGTCTGAGTCAAGTACTGGGTGTCTCCCACCGCCCCTCTGCTGATTCCATTTTACATTTGGCGCTCTAGCCTCGTCCCGCCCCTAGACCTCTTTTTCGTCGTCCACACTAGCCTTTCCAGCCCCCTTAGCAGGTGATCGTTGACTTAACTCGCGCAGCCTCAGTCGTGTAGCGGTGTCCTTGATGCCAGTGGCCAATCAGGCGCGTGGAATCGATGCTGTGGCTCGTGGGTGCAAGAGCCAAGTTCTAAGGCTTGATACAGCGCGGTGACATCAACGCACAGGGACTTCCTCCAAGTACCTTCGCCATCTCCGGGCGCGTGCAGATACCTCAGGTACCTCGGACTCCCTGCAGGGCTCCCAGGCTCCAGGGACCCTGAAACCCGATCCTCTGTTCTCTCCACTAATCAAAGAGGCCCTTTATCTCACATTAATTACCTTATCTGTCTATGCTGATCTATATCAACCATCATCTATCCACGAATCTACATCCACCTACTGACCGCATGAACCCGGCCTGATCTCCATATATCCCCGTCGATGATAAGGCAGATATCCTTTTCTCCATAGGCTCGCACATCAATTCACCTCACTTCCGCCTCGGGTGCCCTCTTTCTTCTACTCCCAGTGGCAAATATACGACCTCACCTAACTCTCAACGCACCTCACCGTGACGCCTTGGCCAGGGAGACATCTCAGCCGCTCTGCGCGGCCATGTCGACCAGACGGAGGATCCAGCTGATCCAGCCCGATGAGCGACGTCCGCTGTTGACCAGCCGAGACTCGGACCAAATCGAGGGTGCCGAGGGGGCAAGCGATCCCCTCTACAGCTGCCGGACCGACCCGCACTCTCATCTGCCCGTCTACACTAACATCCATCGCATCCGACGTGATATTATCAGCGTCGTCGAGGATTACCTGAGTCTGACCCAGCTCACGGATGTGCGTATTAACGTGACCGTTGTCCGTCCACTGGTCGACAAGTTCTATGAGCTTGACGATATATCTATTGGTGAGTGATGTCCTGAGTCTACCGCCAATTGCTTCGCATACCCCCACGCCTCACTTCGGAATGGAAGCTCACTGACCCCTCATACTCCAGTCTACTGCCTGTTGGTCAACAGAGCCCAGTTTCTGGAAGAGCAGGCTGGTCTGACCAATCGACAAAATGTCAATTGGACTCGAGCCACACTCTGCGAGCTTATCGCAACACGAATCCTTCGGCGCTTTAACGAAGACTATGAGGGAAGCGAGGGTCTCCTCCTCCTCTCTCATATCCTCGTGGCTGGGTTCGAGCCTTTCCAGAATGCGCCCCCCCAGATCCGTGAAGAGGCTTCCCGGAACACGTCTTGGTCCCAGCGCACTCTGCCGTCTCTCGAGGTGGCCATCCTGACGGAGAGCAAACACTTCCTCAGCTCGACCACGTGCCAAAAGGTGGTGAGTGCCATCTATGAGGGTCGCATTATTTACACCCCTTCGACCTTTTGGGACATCATCCCCGACCATTACAAGCAGAAGCCAATCTCCCTCTACGACCCGCGTGAATCTCCGTTGCTGAACCAGTATCGTCTTATTGTTCCCCGGACGAGAAGCTTCCTCGAGTCCATCCAGTTTTCTATACTTCTCACTCTCTATGTCTGTGTCATGATAAAGAAAAGAAAGGACGAGGTGACCTTTCTTGAAGTTTGCTTTTCTGTGTACGCATTTGGCTGGGGACTGGATCAGTTTGCTACTATTCTTGCGCATGGTTGGTAAGTGTTTAGCTCTCCCCTTCTTTCAATGCCTGCCTGCTTCTTGCCTTTGACATACTAATCGCCGTTTTTAGGAACGTATACACGCAGAATCTCTGGTCTTTTCTTGACGTCGCATTTATACTCATCTATTCAATATTCATGGTGCTGCGGGTGCAGGGCCAGCGAACGGGTGACTTGGGAACAGCAGAGCAAGCATTTGACGTCCTTGCGCTCGGTGCCCCTGTTGTGATTCCTCGGCTTGCTTTCACTCTGTTGTCTGATAATCTCATCTTCCTGTCGCTTAGATCTATGATGGCCGACTTCTTTGCCCTCACCGCGCTGTCTGCTTGGTGCTTCTTTGGATTTTTGCTCTCATTGCTCTGGCTTGGCGAAAACGCTCACTCTATTACGAAGATATCCTCTTGGATGATTTACATTTGGTTTGGACTTGATGGCGTTGGCATAGAACGATCTGTAAGGCTACGACACCCCTCACACAATGAGGCTGCCCCTTGGTCACAGACACATTTGCTAACTCCCCCCCAGTCTGAATTTCATCGATTCCTTGGCCCAAGTCTGATGGTCGCATTTGCATTCCTTGGGAACACTCTATTTTTGACAATTCTTGTATCCATGTTGTCAAACACGTTCAGCACAATCTCCTCGAACGCTGTTGCTGAAATGCAGTTCCGCCGAGCTGTGTTGACTTTGGAGGGTGTCAAGGCTGACGCTGTATTCGCGTACCAACCCCCCTTCAATATCCTCGCCGTTTTCCTCTTCCTACCACTGAAATTTGTCGTCAGCCCCCGGTGGTTCCATAAGATCCATGTTGCTACCGTCAAGTTCATCAACCTCCCTGTGCTTCTCCTTATTGCTATTTACGAGAGACGGTTGCTATGGTCCACCCATCGTAGGGATGGTCGGCCTCAGAAGTCTTTCTGGCAAAGGTGGCATCTATCTGCCAGCACGAATCTTCGCGGAGTCTTTCAAATCCCGCCTCCTGAGGATATCTTTGAAGACATTGCCGTCGATGACGAGCTGACACGGCACCTGATCCGGCGACAGTTCATGAGACAGACCAGCTCTGCGAACGAGTCGAGGAAAGCGCAGACCCCGTCGAGACGGGACTCCATGTTCCCTGGAATTAGGAAGAGGTTACGTGGTTCCTTTGCTGAGACGGAGGAGTTCGATGGGGTGTCAGCTCGTTTGGATTCTATGGAGAAGTCCATGATGAGGCTTGAAGGGCTAGTTTTTAGGCTTTTGGAGAGAGAGGGGACGGCGGTTGCAGAAAATGAGGGAATGGAAGGCTCCACTGACAGTATGTTGACTGGCGAGAGCACCGCTGGCTTCACAGCCGAGCCCTCTTTTCACGGCGCGACGCAGTCAGAGGACGTTTCCGACTGATAGAAAACTTACATAGATTTTTTGCTCTTATCATTTGCTCATCATTTTCTCGCTCATTATTCTTGCGTGTAGCATCGGAATAGCCCCTGGATTTCAACCATAGCCTAGCGTTTATTATATCTAGAATGTGAAACTTGACATTGCTCACGTTCATCTCACCTTCCTTGACATTGACTCACGTACACTCATCATGCACCGACTGCCACAGAAGTGTAAAATCCATGACAGCAGTATTTTTAAACCAAGTCAAGTCCCAACATTCCCATCTCCAAAGCAAGTAGTTCCCCGTTAGCATGGAATAAGAGCCCGGAAAATTGACCATCGTAGAAGAAGAAGACTGAAAAATCCCCAACCGATCAAAACATGTGTCTTGTCACCTACTTCCAGCACAAGCATTGCAAGCACAAGTGGGTGGTGATCAGCGAGCCCTGCGGCCCCGGAATGGGATTCGCGAATTGCGACACGTTCCGCAACTCAAACTACGTCAAAGACATGCCGGTGCTGTACACGACTGAGAGCCGGCCGTGCCCGAGATGCTGCGTGAGGGCCAGCGGCGGCTGCTACGACCTCAACTCGACGAGGATGGTGGAGAGTATGGGATGGGGGGTCAAATGGGGGACTGGGCCGGCGAAGGATGACTTGGGCTGCGAGATCAAGGTGAAGGATGGCTGCTGTGGTATTCAATAAAAGTACTGGGGGATGGTTTGGGTTCTTGACTATAAATCGTCTGGCGGAGGTGGTGAAGTGGGGATCTGAAGGAGAAAAGTAAAGCAGCCAGTTTTTTTCTAGAACGAACCAAACAAAAGCAACGAGATTTCGTCTTTGATTCCTTTATATCTGCCAATACCATCCTGGCTATACCAAGTCTTGTCGTGGAGGTTAGAAAAACGTATCGCAAACATAGAAGGAGAAGGTACACAATTTTCTTCAGGTCGCACGCACTTCCCCACCAATCTCACTCAACCGTCTTAGTGAAGATTCAATATGCTTCCAACTCCCGATACATCACATGTGCCGTATGAGAGGGTCTACGAGCCTGCAGAGGACTCATTCCTGCTATTGGATACCCTCTCATCCGATACTGAGAAGGAGTTCCTGCAGAGTAGATTTGCCAACCGTGTGCCTTTGGTCCTCGAGATTGGCACCGGCTCAGGTGTCGTCATCTCCTTTGCGAACGCACATGCACAGACTATCTTTGGGAAGAGAAGCGTTCTCACAGCCGGGGTTGACATGAATGCCTTCGCCAGTCGAGCTACGGTCCAAACAGCAAGGAAGGCGGAGCAGGACAACCCGGCAGATCACGGCATGTACTTGGGCTCATGCATGGGAGATCTCACTGCACCTTGGAGGGGCCAGGAGATTGACGTCCTGATCTTCAATCCTCCCTACGTACCGACATCAGAGATGCCTGCAAGGCCGAAGGACTTTACGGAGGTTCCTACGCCGGACCAGAAACCCTCGTTCGATCATGATTCCTATCTGCTTGCTCTATCTTATGCCGGCGGAAAGGATGGTATGGAGACGACGGATCGATTAATCGAGTCCCTGCCTGAAATCTTATCCCCCCAAGGCTGCGCCTATATCCTCTTCTGCGCCCAAAACCGCCCGGACGAGGCGAGGCAGCGGATTGAGGCTCTGGGGACGGAGTGGAGAGCCTTAATGGCGAGATCAAGCGGAAAGACAGCTGGCCGGGAGAAGTTGCAGGTCCTGCGAATATGGCGGGAGATTGGTAACGATGAGTGAAGCTTTGGGTGTCGTTTGGGCGCGGGGGCGCTTTTTGCATATATTTATAGTTAAAAGATAAATAAAGAGGAACCGAGACGCCTTCTCGCATCATTCTCTCATCACCCTCTCTCCCCTGCTCTGGTTGATGTGATTATCCCCTTCCCTTTATAGTCCCCAAAGCTGCTCCAAAACGAAGAACCCATACATATCACATCTTTTTGTCTCTTTGAATATCCGAGAACGCCAGATTCCCTGCAACAACTTGTTGTCGTATAAGTCTGCCTCCTGCTTTCCAACAACAAGGGACCGGCCGCATGGGTGATTACGCGACCTTGGTCGAGGCTGGAGGGTGTCCATTCTTCCTCCCAGGTCAGCCCTCCTCTTCTCCAAAATACCCCAAGCGGACGATTAACCCCTTCCACGACCACGACCGCGACCACCACGCCCTCTGCCGCCTCCCCTGCCGCGACCACGGCCCATGCCGCCGCCGCCACCACCACCACCTCCGCGCTCGGCCTCTTTGCGGGCTTTGTTCTTTGGCTTGGGTGCGTCGTCGACCAGAAGGGTATCAAGAGGTAGCGAGTCGGGGAGGATGAAGTAACGGATGGTGGAGCCACGAATGTTCATTGTGTCCAGGGAGATGGGTTCCTGGCCTCTGATGGTCATCTTGACGGTGCGGAGGGCGGTGTTCATCTGGGGAGAGACGGAAGCGATGGTGCCATGAACAATGGTTCCTGAAAATCGAATCTAGTTAGCTATCTTCCCCGGTCTGAGGCCCCCGGAATTGTCATCTGAGAGTTGGGAGATTTCTATCATTTACCATTCTTGAGCTCAATGGTCACCGTCTCATTGGCGCATTTCATTAAAAACCTGTTTGCGGACTTGGAGTTAGCAAGGGTAGCTTTGAGAGAAGCTTCATTTTCGAGGGAAGCTAGGTCTGCATCGCCGAAGAGACCATTTCAGACAGAGCCAGAAAAGAAAAGAGTTACGTACCTGACTAACTTCATGGTAGCGGTTGGGGGTCAGCGAATCCAGTCGCAGACGTTCTGTGATATGACTGGCACTTTGGCGTGGAATGGGTCGTCCGCGCGCGCTTCGGTCAGCGTTCTGGCGTTCAAAACTTAGCGAAACTATAGAGATGATCGAGCCGTGCTGCCTGCACGTGACGATACTTTTTTGGTGTCCTTGCTGTAGGCAGGAGCGGCAGAGTGGAGCCGGTCGAGCCAAAGCTCGGATTAATAATTTTCAACTCCGCTGCAGCTGAAAGGGAGTGTGGGGCCGGGCGAGCTTTATCGATAGTAAATCCCTTGGCGTGCCTGGTGGCATGGGCAATGGCTCGTAATAATTAAAGTAATTGTTGCCGATGTCTCATTACAGTTTCTGGATGCAACTTTGTTCCCGGGGCTTGACAGTTTGAAACTTGTTATATTGACAGGCAGATACATAACTTGCATGCTTTCCCCCTCATAATTTTGCGCTGTGCTTATTATTATGGTAGCATGGCGGTTTATGCCTAGCCCATGCCCCAATCTCCTCACTCGCTTTGCCCCTCCATCTCGAATATTCCAAAAGCGTCGACGCTGTGGTGCGCAGCCAGACAATAACGAGCACCTCACAACACCACAACAATGATCTCAGGGCGAGGGGGTGCGGGAACGCGAGGTGGACGCATCCGACCGCCTCGCCGCATAATTCGAGTAAGTGCTTTCCTTCCCTTTCTCCAATATGTGATCGATGGTGAATTTCGGAACGCTCCGGTCCCAAGAACCCCCCCCGAATTCCCCCTTGATGATCTCTGCACCCAGCCATACGGCTCTACACATGGTTTGGCAAGTCCAGCATGGGTCAGAGTAGCTCAAGCGATATCAGCGGGCTCGACCAGCCTGGCCAAGCATCCCCCTCATCACCACCGGCATCGGTACCATCACGTTTCTGCGCACCACCTGCTCCTCGCGAACGGCTTCTGACTAAACGTACGAGTTCGCAGCCCAATGGAGCCGGAGAAAGCGATTTCGATGTCTGCTGGGACCTACTTCGAGAAGCCCTTCGAGACATCCACAACAAGAACTGCAGCCGACTGTCATTCGAGGAGCTCTACCGAGCGGCATACAAGATTGTCCTCAAAAAGAGAGGGGATGACCTATATGATAGAGTCACAAAGTTCGAGGAGGAATGGTTCTCCGAAAACATAATTCCCAAAATCCAAGAGCTAGTCACGACGAGCCTGGTCAATATCAGCACCGACAACACCGTAACCTCTGTTAATGAGAGGCGGCAAACGGGGGAGAAGTTCCTCAAGGGTTTAAGAGATACATGGGAGGATCACAACATGTCGATGAATATGACGGCCGACATTCTAATGTATTTGGACCGGGGGTTTGCGCATAATGACCCGAGCCGAGCCTCCATCTTTTCGATGACGATCGCCCTTTTCCGAGATAATATCTTGCATTCATGCTTAGATTCAACATCCGGTAAGAGGGTCATGGAGATTCTCATTTCTGTGATGCTGGATCAGATCAACATGGAGCGAGAGGGCGATGTTATAGATAGAACGCTCATTCGAAGTTGCACCAGAATGCTTAGCTGTCTCTACAAGGATCACCATGAAAACGAAGCCGAGAAGCTATATTTGACATCCTTCGAGGTTGAGTTCCTGGCCAACAGCAGGGCCTTTTATGCCAGGGAATGTGAACAGTTGTTACGAGAATCCGATGCTGGCACATGGCTACGGCATACCCAGCGCCGGCTGAGTGAAGAGGACGATCGTTGTGAAACGACAATCGAGTTGGAAACGTTGCCCAAGGTATCAAAGGTTATCGAGGATGAGCTCATCCGAAAGCATTTGGGCGACTTTTTGGCCATGGAGGGCAGTGGCCTCAAGTGGATGGTCGACAACGACAAAATTGATGACATGTCTATTTTGTATCGCCTGGTATCACGAATTGACGATAAAATGACGGCTCTTAGGGATGTCCTGCAGAAACGCGTGGTGGAACTGGGGCTTGAGATCGAAGCGACGGTCAAGAATACAGATTTCTCAACAGCTGCCGCCGATGGGGAGGATGCGGCTGAGGGTGAGAAGGCCAAGACTTTGAACCCTGCCGCCCAGCACACCGCAGCAGCGATCAAATGGGTAGACGACGTCCTGAGGCTTAAAGACAAATTCGACAATCTCTGGACGGCCTGCTTCCAGGAAGATCTGACCATCCACACAGCTCTCGCAAAGAGTTTCTCTGATTTTATCAACATGTTCTCCCGCTCCTCCGAGTACGTGTCGCTCTTTATCGACGATAACTTGAAAAGGGGAATCAGGGGAAAGACGGAAGCAGAGGTCGATGCGGTCTTGGAAAAAGCCATTATCCTCATTCGCTACCTTCAAGACCGGGATATGTTCCAGACATATTATCAACGCCATCTTGCACGTAGATTGCTCCACGGGAAATCGGAAAGCCATGATGTCGAAAAGCAAATCATCTCAAGGATGAAACAGGAAATGGGACAACAATTCACCACCAAGTTCGAGGGCATGTTCCGAGATCTCGTCACGTCCGCAGAACTGACCAGTGGCTACCGTGACCGAATGTCCCTCGCCGGCAAGACAGTTGATCTCAACATGAGCGTGTTGACGACCAACTGCTGGCCGCCGGAGGTCATGGGTCGCCAGGTACAGATTGGGGAGGGTTCAAGAGTTACGTGCACCTACCCCAAGGAAATCGAGCGACTCCAGGCCAGCTTTGAGCAGTTCTATCTATCGAACCGAAATGGCAGAAAACTCACATGGATCGGAACTACGGGTTCCGCAGACATCAAATGTACATTTCCTGCCATTCCTGGCAAACAGGGTACTCTTTCCCGAGAGCGCCGCTACGAGATCAATGTACCGACTTTTGGCATGGTCATCATGCTCTTATTCAATGACATCCCCGACGATGAATGGCTCACCTTTGAAGAAATACAAGCTAAGACCAATATTTCTACTCAGGACTTGATGAGGACATTGACCGCCATTGCTGTGGCCCCCAAGTCCAGAGTCTTGCTCAAGGATCCTCCGACAAAGTCCATCAAGCCAGGTGATAAGTTTTCTTTCAACGCCGCATTCCAGAGCAGGACAGTTCGAATCAAGGCTCCAATCATCAACGCCGTTTCCAAGGTCGAGGACTCTCAGGAAAGAAAAGCAACCGAGGAGAAGAACAACCAGGATAGGGCTCACGTCATCGATGCCGCTATAGTCCGAATTATGAAGTCTGTCTTTCCTCCTTTCTATCTTTTTTAAATTTAAATAGGCTAACAGCATTTGCACAGGTCTCGAAAGGAGCTTGCCCACTCCCAGCTTGTGACTGAAGTCATCTCTCAGCTAGTTGGGCGTTTCAAGCCGGAGGTTTCACTCATCAAGAAGCGGATCGAGGATCTGATCGTTCGGGAGTACCTTGAGCGGCCGGAAGAGGAAGAATCACCAAACACCTACCGATACGTTGCTTAAGACAAGCTCGGGAATCACACTCGCACCTCTTTTTGGCCAAGATACATTTCCGCGTCTCCTTCTTGGCCTTCATTGACGATAGTAACGACGATGTCCGGCCGCTTGGTCGGACAACTACGAACACGTAACATAGCTGGTATAGCATTTTTTTAATTCGACCGCATTATGGTGGCAAGGCGTCTAGAATTCGGGGCTTTGGGGGGTTGTCTGTTAGCTTACTCGATAAACAGAGACAAGTTCACATAAGATTCTCTCACCGTGATGTATTCAGAATGGAAATCGCTTTGGGGGTCGGGAACAAAACAACCGACTATTTAGTATCTATTGCTGATTTCCATGACAGCAAATGAATGTGTGTTTGATGTCACTGTTCTGCGGAGCCTCTTTAAGATTCATACAACACGTTGCTCGCCTTGCGCAGATCACTCCCAACTGAATTGGTTTGCCACCCTCAGACTTGGTGGTGGCTGCCATAATCCCCCGATTGGTTTGTAAATCTGCATGCGGCTTCATGCGTCCAGGTAGGGGGAGGATAGCAAGGCTGGTGGTATACGTACTACTCATGATAGGCTATATATAAATAGCAAAATGCCTTTCTCGTATATACAGCCCTCAGGGATCATAAACGTTACGGCTTTTAGTACAATTAACAGACGAATAGAGGAGACGCTACTGTGAAATTATTGGTCGAGCTCTTGTTTCATTATCAAGCCTTGTTAGCTAGCTGACCTATCAAAATGCAAGTCGTCTGCATGTCTTACACTAGGAGCAGGCGGCAACTCACCGGTCAATGTAGTTAGAAGGCTGGGAGGGTGCTTGCCACTCTTCCTAAGAAGGAAATAATAAGCCAATGCCAGCATTCTACATAGTGGTTTGATATCGGTGATCCCTGAGGGCTGTGATGTTCTGTTGCACTTCTGCCTTATCGCAGCGCCTTCAGGCTGAGCGCTCAGCCGCAGAATACTCCTGTAGGAGGTTACGCAATGGGCGGACCGTACGCCTGCCTTAGTTCCTTGGTGTGCATAGAGCTGAGCTTGGCGAGTGTAGAAAATAGAAACTGTGGCGTTCTGGGAGTGTGGCAGCATACGTGTGCTGGAAAGACGATGGTAAGGACTCCCTGTGCCGCTGGGGTTTCGTTTTCCGTTGTCTTCAGCCTTGTTGAAGAGGTATATGTTCTTCTCCATCCTTCTTCAACTCTATCAGTTCTGTCCATGCATGAACTTGCAAGCGCGAGACATACACGTACCATTATTTAAGTGACTTCTGTTTTTCTTTCGTCCTCCTCCTTTTTCGAGCAATCTCTCATCACAAGATACTGACCATCCCCCGCCGTTGCATATACCAACAATGGCAGACTTCCAAAGTGGCCTTTGGTGGGATTACTCCCGTCCAGCTGGGCTCCAAGGGACTATTACCCTGTCGATGACCCAAGGCAATATATTCCTCTCATTCTTGACCATTATAGTTGCTATTTCAGGAGCCAGTCTCTGGGGAATAGCGGCCCCTCTTCTACACAGCTTCATTGTTCGGAGGAGACGCAACAAAGTTGAAATTTTCGATATCCAGCAGCGAGTTACCCTGATCAATTCCAAGTCCCCGATGGCAACCATCATCGACTCGCTACGAATCTACATGGCTTGGTCGAAGCACGAGATTCCAAATTTGACTTCCCGTACGGTTACCATTGTTCTTCCTGCGCTTCTATTCTGGGTTGGCATAACGGCAGCATCCATCTTCACCTCCAAAGTTGCTTTCAGCGGTGATAAGGGTGTTCTTGGTCTCAGAAGAAGTAATGTCTGTGGCATCTACGCGCCAACCTCAGACCTTTCACTCAAGGAGAAGGAAAGCTTACGCAGAGTATTGATTAAAGAGATGACTGCGGCAAGGAATTACGCCGAAAACTTCTACCTCAACAGCACTGCTTCACTTTCTAGATCCCCATATGTGACGACATCCTTACCACATACAGATTCTCAAGTACCTTGTCCGCTCGAAAACCACACCCGGTGTGCCTTGGACATTTCTCTAAGGTTAGAGTCTGGGCTGCTAGACTCCCATCTCATGCTTGGAATTAATGCGCCAACATCAGACCGCATTCACTTCCGAGCTGGTACGACCTGTACTGTAGTCAATAAAGGTGGACTTGACAAGCTATCAAAAACAGGTAGTTCCCGTCGCTACTTCCTGGGAGGGGTCATGGGCAAGAATTACACATATGAGTATGATCAAGACTTCAGAAGTGGCGGTATAGGATATTTTCTCAGGTAAGGAAGCAAGTTCTCTTTCTAACCCCAACTTTGGCAGACGTTGCTAATGAGCGCGCTCTGTCTCACACATCAATAGCGGCTATGACTCGGAATGGAAACCGAGTGTTGGACTTGGGATCAACGACTCGGATACGAGTATCATTATACTCTCCGGAAACAATGTGCGTTATCGTGAGAGTATTGAGGATCCTTTTTTCTGGGCCACGGACTACAATGAAAACTCGACGGCTTTCATCTCGAACAATGACGCCAACTTCATGATCTGTGCAGACCAGTACCAATTTTGTAACCCGGTGGGTGATAGATGCTCGCCTTGGTCAAACAGTACGGCTTTATGGGGCTCCGTGATACCCCAGAGCTTGGAACTGGGATTCAACGAAGCCCAGGTGGCAACTGTGACACGGCTCGCCTGGAATATAGCCTGGGAAACAGGTCTTACAACTGCTCTTGTTGTCAAAATTCTTAATTCTGCAGGTAAGTCGAGGGATTATCCTTCAGACGGCGTAGATTTACATCGTGTTGGCTAATAAATATCCGAAAATTCCTAGCCCTCGACGCCAGCAGCAAGCTAATGTTCAACGACGTCTCCCTGGGGATTTCCACCGATAGTCAATGGATTGTTGAAGCTTCCAGGTGGTTTCAAATCCGACTCGCTTTTTTTCAGGCGAACGTTGCCGCCTACATCGACGTGCCCTCAGCGCGGTTGAGCCAACCTATCACAAGTCTCAATGATCGCCCATGGTTACAGGATCACTTTAAGCTTTCTCATCGGCAGGTAGATTCTCTCAACGCACAATGCCACACACAGCTGGTCAGGAGCAGTGGGGAGATACAAAACTTCAGCTTCGCTGGTGTTTTGATCATTTTGATTGTTGGCAGCTGTCTCACAATCATCAGCTATAACATGACAGGTATCATGGATGCCTGTGGCCGCCTTCTTTCGGGCTCTGAGGCTACAAATGCTCGCCAAGGCGATGACAAACAACATCTGCTGAGAATGGCTCTCAACGCCAGCGGCTATCCGGCCATTGGGGAGTGGAAAGCAGGCTTCCTCCAAGTCCCCGTCACGTCGCATCGAGAGATTGTCGCGGACCTCGAAGTATTTGAAAGAGGATTGACGCTTTATCCATTGAAGGAGGGACTCACGAACCGAAATAGTACCAGCACATACGAGGAGGTAGAACTCAGGGAGAGAACTTAACCCACCCGACAATACAATGCAAACTACCGAAATGACACCCGGACCTGATATGTCAAGTTGAAGATCTCGTCAAGTACATGTAATCAATTCTGCACAAATTTACGCAACGATGAAATAGAAAATATTATAATTCACATCTCTAGCTAATTGAATTGAAATTACACTTTTAATCTTTGAGATTGGCATTAAATTTATTTGTAAAGTAAATCCGGCGCTGATAGCAAATGCATAGATATCCTCGGATCAAGTTCCGACTTCCGCATAGTAGCCGAGAGCAGCTTTTCCGGTCATCGGCTCTCTCTCCTCAACCAGCAAGACACGATCCATACATTGTCCGATAGCTCGATCTCGGTTTTATTGGGATATCGCAATTGGGGCCTCTATTAATCCCTCTAATTTTCCGCTTTACGGATCCCCTCTTGGCCTATTTAAATATCGCAATCCCCGGCTCCGGCTCACCACTTCACCATGTCCGTCTTCAGATACACAATGGCCAGGCTGGCTCCCCAGACGCTGGGCTCCCTCAAGCAGGCCGGCAAGGTTGTCTGCATTGGCCGCAACTATGCGTGAGTATCTCATCCCTTGGCAAATCCTCCAGCGGGTAAAGATTTGAGGTAGTTTGATCGTGTGGGCTAATATTGAAGGGAGCGTCTAGGGACCACATTGCCGAGCTCAACAACATGAAGCCCAAGCAACCCTTCTTCTTCCTGAAGCCCACATCTTCTATTGTGCTTCCCGGCGAGGGCCCCTGCTTACGGCCCAAGGGTGTCAACATGCACTTTGAGGTCGAGCTGGCCCTGGTCATTGGCAAGCTCGTGCGCGACCTCAAGGCGGATGACACCAAGGGTGCCATTGACGCCATTGCAGGTATGTTCCGTTACAGAGAAACTAGAGCGTTCAAAGACATCATCTAACATATCTCTCCTCTTACCAGCTTACGCCGTGGCCATTGACATGACCGCGCGGAATGCCCAGGACGAGGCCAAGAAGAAGGGTCTCCCCTGGGACATCGCCAAGGGGTTCGACACCTTCCTGCCCATGAGCAACGTCATCCCCAAGACGGCCATTGCCAACCCCCAGGACGTCGAGCTCTTCCTCGAGGTCAACGGCGAGACCAGGCAGCAGGGCTCGACCAACCTGATGATCTACCAGATCCCCCGCATCCTGAGCGACATCTCCAAGGTCATGGCCCTGCACCCCGGCGACATCGTCCTGACCGGCACCCCGGCCGGTGTCGGGCCAGTCCAGCCGGGCGACGTGATGCGCGCCGGTGTCCGGGTCAGCGGCAAGGAGCTGGAGGAGGGCAAGATCGAGGTCCCCGTGGAGGAGTCGCCCAGCTCGTATGTCTTCAAGGAGACATAGAGAGATTTGCTAGAGCTACATCTAATTCTGTGAGCTATACGATGATTTATTTGTAAAGCTTGCAAGACGGGCAGATCATGTTTGGGGAGGCGTGACTCGTATGTGTATATATACTCTTCTTGGGATAGATACGGGGAACACAAGAGATTAAACAGACAGGACATCAAACATCAACAAAATAAATCACTTGATACAATTCACCCCACTCCTAATACTCTACATAAATATCCAACTACCTATTCCAGGTTGGGGTCCTTGATCGACCCCGGCTTCGGCGCAGACTCTACCAGGAGCCCGCACTTGCCGCACTTCCTCTTGGCATCGTCGCCCTTGAAGTCCTCGACGGCCTGCTTGACCTGCGTCCCCAGGTCGGTGCAGTGGAAGGAGGCCTCGTGGACGACCTCGACGCAGTCCGGGCAGTACCAGCGCAGGCGGTCGAGGGACCCCTCGGGGCGGCGCTGCTCCAGGACGACGCCGACGGTGTTGGCGAAGCGGACGGGGTTGTGGGGGGTGTTGCCCGGGAGGAGGAACATGTCGCCCTCCCTGATGATGACGTCCCGGAACTTGCCGTCGTCGAGGACCTTGAGCATCATGGCCCCCTTGTACTGGTAGAACCACTCGGGGGTCTGGTTGATGTGATAGTCTGTGCGGGCATTGGGTCCGCCGACAATCTCGGGTGAACGGTCAGTGACAGGTCTTTCTCCATTTATCGCCAGGCGAGACCAGAAACAGCCGTTGGGAAGTCTGAATGGGAGAGAGAAAGGTGGGCTCAAACCATAACAGTGAAGTCTTCGTTATAGACACAGTAGTTATTGATGGGAGGCTGGAGAAGATGCGAGTTCTCTTCCAGCCTGACAGAATGAGGATCGCAGGTTAGAGAATGTGGCTGAGTGAGTCATGATAAGGCCTAATGAACTCACCACTTGGGCAGATTGACTGGCGGTCCCAGCATGGTCTAGAGTGAGGCGCGGTTCTGAGGTGATGAATGTGTTGCGATAATCTAATCTGGACCGTCGACGGTGTAGGCAACAAGAGATGGAACTGAAAAAGAAAGAGCCCGTCTGGTCTGATCCACCAGGAGGATATTTCAAGGAACGATGGATTAGAAATACGGCCAGAGAATTTTAGTCATGAGCGATTAAGATCGGAATCGTCGGCCACCTTCGTTGACTAGACCCCGCAATGAGATGTCGATGGTTTTCGAGCACTCGATGACAGCCCCGGTTGCAGTTACAGTTACAGTTCAGGTCAGTCAAACTCAGCTCAGAGGGCAGAAACTCGGGATGCGTCTTGACAACATTTGACAATAATTTTCATAGAAGGAATATACTAAAGCCTTGGTCTTTCGTATGTTTAACAACAAAAAACTGATGTGAAATTAAACGAGCCTTTGAAGCTTCCTTGACGGATCTAAATGCCAACTCTTCTTAAGAAGTTGTTTGAATAGTTGGAACTCAGAAGGGTAGCTGCGGGGTGCCAGAGTGGACTCAGTGGGGAGCCACAGACCTGGAGCAGGGGCTAGGGGCCTGATTAGGGGACCGACAGGTGTATCGCGTGCGATCCCAGTGACCTGCTACCTATCGGATCCCTACCAGAGGGGCCAGAGGGGCCTAATTAATCGTCGGTACATCCAATGGATATGATTACGTAGGACCGACCTGCTGTAGCCGCCAATACGAGCCTACACTGCAACAGCTGACCAGCAACCATCACCTCATCCTCCCACAGCTATCCTTCCAATCGTCCTCCCTCCCGCTGCGACGCGCATATTTGAGCATTTTCTCGGCTCACACAGAGGCTCTCGGTTCTTTTTAAGGACCAATCCTCTCCATTCTTCATCCTTCCAAAACCGAGACGAACTCCATCCCTCGAAATCGATACCCTCTCCTCGAAGCGACCGATCTTCAACCACACGATGGACCACCACGCTCACATGAATCACGGTGATATGGATCATGGCGACATGGACCATGGAGACGGAGGCATGAAAGATATGTGCAACATGAACGTATGCGCAAGCCCCCCTCGCATTGCACTATCTCCCATGCTGACAAGGCGACTCCATCCAGATGCTGTTCACCTGGGACACCAACTACCTCTGCATCGTCTTCCGCCAATGGCACGTCCGGTCTACATCATCCCTGATCTTCTCCCTCCTCGCCGTCGTCCTCATCGGCATCGGCTACGAAGCCATCCGCGCCTTCTCCCGCCGCTACGAGCTCGCCTCATCCAAGCGCGTCGATTCCCTACCGAGTAAGCACCAAGCCCTCCCCCCCTTCGCTTCTTTATCCCAGGGCGGTCCCAGGAGTTAGGTTGGCAATCGGAGGACTCGTCTCAGGCCCCTCGCCTTTTCTTCTCCTTCCTTCCTTCTTCATCTTCATGTCTTGGGGCCGTTGCTGATGAGATTGCTTCCCGCCTTTGAGGTGTCCTTGACTCCGTTACTGAATCAACACCCTTCCTCCCCGCAGGACAAAGCCAGGCCCAGCTCGGCCAGCGGACCCACGTCGTCAAGGGCGCCCTGTATGCGCTCCAGAACTTTTACGCATTCATGCTCATGTAAGGAACTGTGCCCCATCTTCACCCTTATATACCTGGTTGGCCCTTTGTTCCTCGTTTGCTTACATCTCACTCCTCCGCGCCAGGCTCCTGTTCATGACGTACAACGGCTGGGTCATGATCGCTGTTACCCTGGGCGCGTTCTTTGGATACCTCATTTTTGGAAAGTCATCTTCTGCGACCAAGGAGAACGCCTGCCACTAACGTTGAACCATGACGAGAGTATCATGAGATTTCTCACATTACCATATATGCTATATATGGTGATCTGCTGCTTAATATGGCACCCGCCCCTTGGCTTCCGGGAGAAGGAGATTGATTATGTCGGGAATGAGTAATAACCATGACCTCGTGACAGTCATTCTTTCTATAGATCTACATCCCCAGCGCTCTACATGACTAAAGAATAGAAAAAATGAAATATATATACCCTTGGGGCGGCTCCTACATCTTGGCCGGCTCCTTCCCCACCTCCGGCCTCTGCTCTGAAACCTCCTTGAACTGCCCCTCCGCCTCGGCGAGCATGATGATGTCGGCGTCCCCGAACCCCTCGTTGTGCTCCATCTCCGGCTCCTCGCCGTACGCTATCCTCGCGGCGTCCACCAGCACCCTCGCCGTCATCCCCCACACCTTGAACCGCCCCTCCCTCTCCTGCTCCTCCTCGAGCCTCTCGGCGAGGTTGCTCTGCGCGCTGCCCCGCCGCGGCCGCGACACCCGCTGGTTGTTGACGGGCACGTAGAAGTTGTGGACCCGCCACGGCACGTCCTTCCACGAGATCCACGACCCGTCGTACCACTGGCCCTCCGGGAGCGGGGGGGTTGTCGTCTCCCCTCCAAGCGGAGGGGGGAGGTCCTCGAGCTTGAGGAAGTTGTAGAAGGGCGCGCTGAAGAGGGCGGCGACCTCGCGGGCGTCGAGGCGCGGGATCATGGACTCGTCCACCAGGGGCGCGGGGCCGCCGGGTGCCCCGCCGCCGTCGGCGTCGGCGTGGAGGAAGGCGACGCAGGGCGTGACGACCAGGTGAGTCCGCGCTAGGGAGGGCGGGAGGCAGCAGAGCTGCTCTATCCTGAAGGGCTTGGGGAGCGCGAAGTCATCCTGGGGGAGGCCGATCTCCTCGGAGGCTTCGCGGCGGGCAATCTGGTCTAATATAGGGGGGGGACATCAGTTAGTACCCCGGTGAAAATAGGCAGAATCCCCCTTTTTAGCTGGGGTTTGGGCTGGGGCTACTCCCAACTCTCTGAGAAGTAATAACATATGGAGAGAAGTAAGATATAGGATGGGTTAACGCACATGGTGACTCATCGACACTGTCTGCCTTCCCACCGGGGAGTGCGGCGTGGCCAGAGAAGCTCCGGAGACTGGCGGCTCGCATGGTGATGACCACTCTCAGGTCCCCCCATCTGTCTGCGTAGAGCAGGATGAGGACGGCAGCCCGTTTCCGGGCAGGCAGCTGGTCCCAGAAGGGAAATGGCGGTGGCCGGTAGGCTCTCAAACGAGCTATGGCAGCCTACAACATGATTGCTTGTCAGAAAAAAAAAGCCAAGCGAAATAAAAAGTTGGTGCAAGATCGTGGAAATGGTTTCATGTATATCAAGTAAGGGTTGCTTTATGAGCAATGTACGAACCGCAGAGAGAGCACTTAGAGGAGCCATTGTAGACGCGTCATAATACAAGGAAGCTTCGGTAGGTGGCCCGAGGTCGATCTCGGTTGCGACGATGTCCTGGATCTTCTCCCTGACGGTGTCGATGAAGTCGGGGGTGGGACTCGAACCTATAATCTGCGACGGGATATTGGTAGATGGGTCCTTGGTGCCTTGATCCAAAGTAGATGTCGGCTCGGGACTCATTATTCAATTGCTTCGCCTATCCGGAGTTCGGGTAGTTCAGGAAAAAAGGGGGGGGTAACTCGGTGTGGGATCGCTTTTTTAAGCGCCCAGAGCAAAGTACCAGGGAAGAGGAACGAAGCACGTTGATTGATTAGTGCAGAAGTCAAGTTTATTAATTTAGGTAGTCTTGTTGGCATCTCCCTAGATGCCGAGGATCGGGCTTCACAGCGGAAACGATCATGCGGGGGTGGGGCTAACGTCGTCCCGATTACCGATAAGATAAGAGCTCTAAAAAAAGTCTTATCGGTCCATTTCCGCATGGCGTCGGGTTTGGGTTATATTACATCACCCGTCACGTCACTCGAGTTCGTGTTTTCGCGTAAAGAGGCAAGGAAAGCTGTGTTATCAGTGACATTCACAGTATGGGGAGACACGCGCAGTTAGAGGAACTGTTCAGGTTCAGAAAACATAGTAAATTGCCTTTCCGAGGGGGGTATACCGAGTATGCTCTATAGTGACCGCGTTGAAAATCAAATAAACCAAAAACCCTGGGAGCCAGCACCCAGTTTCTATAACACCGCATCGCTATGTCTAACAAATGAAAGGTAACGACAGAAATATGCTGAGGCATTCTGCAACTCGAGAAAATGAAAACAGAAAAAATAATAAGTAAATCCGAAGTCCGAAAATGCTAAAGGGGTAATGCAATAACCGAATAATAGTAAAACAGGAAAACGTAACTGTATGCAAGAAGAGAACCAAAGGAGATGTTGCTGGGGGGAGGGGATGACTTGACAAAGGAACAATCCCATCCCGTGGCAAAGTTTTGCTGTCGTAACGTGACAATGAGTCTTTTCGCTTGTTCCAAACTCCCAAGTAAAAGGACAGACATAGGAAAAGGAAATAGAGAGAGACAGGGAGGACAGAAGGAGATATGATCATGTCACCCTTCCGCCTCCGATGAATTCAATTTGCATTGGCGATTCTTTCCTAGAGCTCCGTGGGAAACCTTTGGCCTTGGCTTTGCTCACGGCGCCCCTTGCGCTCCCTATCAGTTTGTCGGCGACCATGTGAGGTGCCACCGAGGACGGCACAAATGAGCCCGGAGACCGATACCGTCCCTCGAGATTTTCGTGGTAGTAGTTTCTCAGGGGCGACGCCTCGTTCGCAAGCCAAGTCTTGAACTCTCTCAGTTTGCCCGAGCTGTCGAGGTCATCGTCGTCCGAGTCGCTGTCAAAGGCGCTATGTGTCACCGGCATATCCACAGCGGACCGGATCATGGGAGGTGGCGCGACCATGGGAGGGTTGATGGCATGGGGAGGTGCACGGCGCCGGCTAGTGCGACCACTAAAGCCGCGGGCGTGATGAACGCCGTTCTCTTTCGCATCGAAGCCTAGAGGCAGCTCGATTCGGGGAAGGTTGTCCGAGAGATGCGACTGCGCTAGCTGTTCCTTGGGCTGCGACCTCGGGGCAGGCGGCTGGGAGTTGGTTTGAAGGTTGCGAGGTTGTTCGTGGCGAGGAGGCTGCTGGACCTGGTGGTAAGAAGGATCGGGGACTTGGTTTTGAAGAGACTTTGGGGCCTCGGGGGGAGGAAGAAAATCATCATTGAGACTCAAACTTCCGAAGCCGCTGGTGAACTCGTTCACCAGCATGTGATATTCCGCAGACGCTGCCAAGTCGGAGGCAGCCAGCAGCCTCTCCTTCTTCAAACTCTCCTCAGCCCTGATCTCGAAAGCCAGCTCTTCATCGTCGATGGAGCTACGCGAGCTCGCTTCGCTCAGGTAGCTCGGCCCAGAAGTGCTGCTCCGATTGCTATCCACGGAGATCCACGATGGTATTCGGGATGAGTCCTCCTCAGGGACAAGTCCGGACGATTCAGAAACCTCGAAGAAGCCACATCCTCCGTCCATATCCATCGACGGTCGCCATTGATGCATTCTCGCCAAGGGTGCAGAAGTAGGTTGTTCAGTGTACGGCATGGTACCGGTCATGCAGCCTCGTCCTCTTTTTCGATTATTAGTAGGGTAGTAGTCAGGGGAAGTATTATGGTTGTTGTTTTTGGTGTTTCTGGTGGCTGTAGGCGTGGTAATAATAATTGGGGAAGAAAGTATGAAGAAGGGGTCAAGGGGGTCAAGGGGATCATCGTCAACATCAATGTTGCAGCCCGTGAGCTGTTTCACTTTTTTTGAAGAATTGTGGCCAGTGGCGCACAGGCTGTTGAGGCTCGAGCGATGAGATGACTGCCGTCCTGCTGCGGGCGGAGAGCCCTGGTGAGCCTCTGGCGCTGACCCGCTCGCCCCAAGAGCGTCACTCTTGAAACCGACAGCATGTCCGCGGACGGCTCCAGGTGGCGATTGACCAGGGTCCAGAGGCAAGGGAGGCAGAGGTTTTGCGCTGCGAAAATGGATGTTCGCGTGTGATGTTGGGATGTGGTTGGACGATGCATCATCGCCAAGCCTGGACGTCAGCCCTGTGGTTTTGGATTGTGCTGGTCTTTCAGCTCGTGGTGGCATCCAGCGCAGCAGCGACAAAGCGTCTGGCGGGCGAGGAGGCCGCGGCGGAGGGCACTGGGACATAGCGCTGTGCTCGCTGTAATGCTGCCTATGTTAGTACCCAATCGAGGGGCCTGCTAGGGCTGGTGGCGAATGTTGCTGCACTGGGCTAGTGCCTTCTGTGCCTGTATAATCCGCCCAGGGTATGAAAGCTTAGGAAAGCTAGCAGTGGATAGAATTGTGTAGTCAAGGATGAGGCCCAAGATGAGGCCGACGATGTCGATGGAATGTAGATCAAGATGATGATGGATAGAAGTAATGATGGTGTAAAAGAGAAGAAAGAGGAGGGGGATGGGATAGGAGAGTATGAAGGGATAAATGCACACACTCTTTCTGCACCCGGCATTGGTATCCTGCGTACGATTCAGTTCTCAGTGTTAGCATCGGCGGGCGGTTGCCAATGGTTGGGCAAGCACAACAGCCTTTGTCAACTCTATTCTGGCTCATGTGCCCCCCTTCTCTCTCTAGTCAACAATCAAATACCTGAATAAACAGTCTAATGACCAACACAATACAGGACAAAGGAAAGTGGCTTTCATCCCTGGATTCTTTGTCATATCATTAAGGTGGCGTACACGAAAAGTATAACAGTAAGTACCTAGCAAACGCCGCTCCCCCTTCACTCACCTCCTCGCTGTTGCGAGAGTCGGAGAGGGCAAACGAACACCAACCACGGCGAGCCAGGTGTCACCGGTGCCATGCCCCTCATCCCCAGGAAGCTGAAAACAGCCATGTTTCCTTTGCGCATACACCGCGCATGCGTGTAGCCGTATGCTTCACCTTTCTGCGAAGCAACAGACAGGCCCTGCTCCGACAGCTCAGTGTTAACCATCCTGGCGGAAGCAAAGCACCAGCCAGCCAATAAGCGAAGAGGCAAATGGCAGGACGTTGCATGATCTGGGCATGACACGACACTGGCAAGGCATCGCGTGGGCGGGTGTTTTAGAATGTGAAACGCGGGCGAGCCTGCAGGCTGGGAGCTACCGAGATACGATGCCAGAACGTGGCCGCAGTAGGCCGATGAGCTGACCGACGATGCTGGAGGCGGTGGGAAGTTCCGCGGCCAACGACAGGGAGCAATAAGTTTATCGTGGTGCACGGGACTTCTCGCAGAGCAGCGTTGTGATTCCACGGACCGAACGTGTGCGGCGATTGCTGGTGGATGCCCCAAAATAGACAAGCAAGCTCCCAGTTAGGCTGCTGGTTTTTCCACTTCAGATCATTCACTTCACTTCTTGGCCTCGTACGAAAACAAGCATGCAGCAGCGCGTATTGTCCGTACTCAAGCAAACGGGATGGCAAACTGCAGCCTTGTTGTCCGACAGCTGCCAACACAATGCACCCACTCCAAGTCTGCACGCCATCGCCGGATGGTGAATCCGTCCAGCAGACGCAATCCATCCCACTAGCGCCATCTATGGAAGTTTCTAAATATTCCGCCAGATTACCGACAGCAAGGTCTGGAACGCTGGAACGCAGGCAGTGGTTATTTCGGGCCTGGCAATTCCTGCGCTCTTCTCAAACCGTCAGGTGCAAGCTCTGACCTTTTTTACAAGACCAGTTGGTAAATGGCCGGAGACAGGCATCCCGGATGCATCTGACATCCCAGCAGCAGCAGCCGCCTCGAGAGTCGAGCTGTCACCATGTGGCAATTTGAGGCTGAACTCCAGCGCTCGCCTAGGCACTAAAATAAGCTCCGGGTCCCCCACTTGCCTACATCCAACGGCGGGACGGAGATGATCCTCAGCAGCGATGATTTCATTATTAAAGTGCACCTAAAATTATGACCTGTTGCGGCCTTGCCTTACCTTACCCTGCCCTGCACCATCAACTCCCTCGGACGACTGTCCAGTCACTTGGCCCTGCACTGCCCAGGGCCTCGGGAAGCGCGTATTAATACCACATTGCCGCATCTTCCCCTTTCGGGAGTCATTGACCAAATACATGTGAAGCCCCGTCGGCGTTGGGCATGTCATTTGCGTGCATAGTACCTACTGAAAGGCCTCCGCGTCTTCAGACCGTGTTTGACTTGGTATGGTATGCCAAAATCTGACCCACAAGCTATATGCCGTCCGTTTCGGGGAACTTTAGAATGCCGTCATCCTTCTAATATAACGAGGACGAGGAGTAGCCTGGCTTTGTGTTTCTGTTTTTACTCATGCTGCCGTCATCTGGAGTCTAGACTCTGCACATGTTCGTCCAGACCGTTGGGTCGTGCAAATGCCGTGCGTGCATACATGTTTATTATCCACATGCATGTCAAGGTATCCCCGTGTCCCGCCATGTGAAGAAAATGCATAATTCATACAAGAATAGAGTAGATACAAGAGAGAGAAAGGGGTAAGATACCTCCCATAATAAAAAAAATCTATGCCAAAGCTCCGTCACTCTATATACCGAGAGAATATACTTTTGTAGCCCCCAACACCAGATAGCCTGTAAATCAACCATCGCATTGCCCAAGGTAGATGCTTTCGATGCTTTCCCGGGATGTCTAGACCTCGTCATCTTCATCGTTGCTGTTGTCGTGGTAGTTCCCGAGGAGGATGTCATCAACCCCGAGACCCGCAGGCGTCTGTCGGATCGACTCTGTCTCGACACGGAAGAAGATCCATACCCACCGGCGGAATACCTCGAGAACTTCAATCAGGAAGATGCCACTCTCGAAATCAGTGAACTTGTCCAGGTGCGGGCTCAGCTTCATTGACCACGTGCAGCGGAGCATCAGGTCCATTGCGATGACAACGTAGTACAAGCTGATGGGCCTCATGAGCAGCCGGTCCCGTAGACCAAAGGGGTGAGTGTGTGCCGTCCGCTCCTTCTTCGAAAGGAACAGAGTCAAGTCCCAATCCTTGGTGACATCCCAATAAAATGAGTAGAGCGAGTTTGCCAACACCGCAACCAACCAGGCTTTGTTAAGGACCGCTTTTGCGGCCGGGTCACTCGAGTTCCTCTGGAGCGTGCTGAAAATGATGACGGGGAATGCGGACGAGTACTTGAGCGCATTGGCAAGATGCTGGCCACCCCAGCCTGTCGATTCCTTGTAAGGCGCCCGGCGGACACGCAGGTATTCAATCAAGCACTGCCTGAAGCGAATCAAGCTCGGGAGGGCCATCAGTAGCGGGACGATGACCAGTCCTCCACAGTTGCGATCCGGCCGCTTCGTCGATGACCCCTCTGGCTTGAGGAACATGCAGATGGTGACGAATAGATCCCCAAAGACTTTAGCGTAGGAGGTCAACACATCAGCCAGAAGTATGTCCCCAAACTTGCCATCTGCGGCCTCTGCAATACCACCAATGCTCACACGTCGGAGGGTCGCCAAGAATCGCCGCCTTCCGTGGCTAGGCAGGTCCTGGACGGGGACAAGGAAGACTGCAATGAGAGCCACGAGATAGGTCAGAGGTAACCAGTCGTAGTCGATAACTCGATCCGGAATCCGCCATGTGAAGAGCCAGAACAGGACGATGGACACTCCGAATAGACTCGATAGGACGGTAGCGAGACGGTAGGTCGAGAAATGGTGCGGCGCATGGTGCACTGACGATCGCGCAGGATATCGTATCAGACTGGGCACGTCAATCTTGAGGTTGTATAGATGGTGCAGGTTGAGACCCCAACCCCAGACAGCTGCAGCGCCCTCAAAGGTCAGCAAGACGAACCAGATGGAAATTTCATGCCGATGGTGGAATACTAACCGAGTGTAATAATGAACCCTACTCGATACGGCAGAGGAAAGGTCAAGCTGAAGGAGTCGAGCTCCGACTCCACCGCTGGGTCACCGTCCATTGCGCCAAGTCATCAGTCGGGGGCCCTGATGCAGCTGTGAATTCGCGGGATGCTCGAGCGGGTTGGTACTGCAAAGAAGTTTGGCGAAAGAAATACCCTGAGGTTAAATGAGCGACATTGGGCTGTTGCAAGCGGCAGTTTGCGACTGCAAGATACCAACGGTTGAAAGCTTAAAGAAAGGGATGATGGGCGAAAGTTGTCCATCTATCTACTCCAGCTAAACCCACCGGATTGGTGGGGGCCATTCGCTTTCGGGGCTCAGGGGGTGCTTATCTCGATTGTCACTGGTCATTGGATCTGCACAGTTGCTTTCAAATAGATCTCATTGCTCCCGAACTATTTGATCTCTAAGATTGGACTTGAAAATTAAGTGCGCAAAGCACAACCGGGTCCTTAGCTCTGTTCGACAATTTGCTCAGGCTTGACTCTATAAATTTACTAGGTGCTGTTCCAAGGCAACCCGTCTTGCCTGAGAGATCGCTGTCAGCATTTACGGGTAGAAGAAGTACAAAGTTTAATGTTTAATACACAAAACTGTACAACAAACACCATTGTCACATACCTCACCAATTAATTACATACAACCTATATTCGGAAACACATGAAAAAATAACGTAAATGAATGGATTTGATAATATATCGTAACCCGACAGCTGGTGGAATGAGGGCGATATAGGGTAAGCAACATGAGTGATAAAATACTATGAGCACACCTCCAATTAGATTGATGGAAGTTGAGACCCCAGCCGATACATAGTGGATTACACATGATATCCCGAGGCTCAACAGCGGCCTAGCCTACCGAGCCTAGAACCACAACCACCGACCTTCCAACTCCCAACCCATCACCAAAACACCGATCGAAACTAAATTCTAACCCCAGATCCAAGAAGCCATAGGACTGGGCCTCTCATATACCGCGCACATTCAAGTGCGCGACAGCCATTGACCATGTCCGCAACCGAGACCGAGACCTTACCCTCGCCAGCGACGACCTCCTCGAACTTGCTCTCCTCGCCATTCCCCTTCGCCACAGCCCCAGACATCATCCGCTCGCACCAGAAAGATGCCTACTTCACCGGCCACCTCACAAACACGCTCACAGACCTCCACCGCCGCCTCCTAGGCGCGCGCGCGACCCACGCCGTCGCCCCGGAGCTGCGCACCTCCGCCTCCCTCCTCTACTTCGCCCTCACCACCCTCACCGGCAACCGCACCCTCGGCGAGGAGTACTGCGACCTCGTCCAGCTCGAGGGCGACACGGGCAAGCTCCCCTCCCTCGAGCGCCGCGCTTACTACATCGCCGGCAGCATCCTCCTCCCCTACGCCGCCTCGCGCCTCCTGCCCCCGATCCGCGCCCGCCTCCGCGCCCTCCTCGACCGCCGCGTCGAGTCCCTCCGCAAGGCCGGCAAGGCCGCCTCCCGCGAGTCCCGCCTCTGGTCCTACCTCTCCGGCAACCTCGCCTCCATCACCTCCTCCACCCCCGTCCAGGCCCTCACCCTCGCCGCCTTCTACTTCAGCGGCACCTACTACCAGCTCTCCAAGCGCCTCCTCTCCCTCCGCTACGTCTTCACCCGCAGCGTCCCCGACACCCCCGACCGCGCCGGCTACGAGGTCCTCGGCGTCCTCCTCGTCGTCCAGCTCGCCGTCCAGGGCTACCTGCACGTCCGCTCCACCCTCCAGCAGGAGGTCGTCGCCGCCCGCGAGAGGGCCGTCATGGCCGCCGACGTCGACGTCTCCCTCAGCCACGACAACTCCTACTTGAACAACAACGACCTGCTCCTCAACGACCTGGGCGGCGCGCAGGCGCAGGCGACCAGGATCGACATCGCCTCCACCACGCACACCCCCGTGGGGCCGGCGCCCAGATACGTGCTCGGGGACGACAAGGTCATGGGCTTCATCAAGGGCCAGCAGCAGCGGAAATGTACGCTTTGTCTAGAGGAGCTTAGAGACCCCTCCGCTACGCAGTGCGGCCATGTATTCTGCTGGGAGTGCATTGGTGACTGGGTGAGAGAGAAGCCCGAGTGTCCATTATGTAGGAGGGAGGCGTTGGTTCAGCACATACTCCCATTACGAATAGCATAGCACAGCGCGGCACATATTAAGATGTAAAATTGAACTTGTACATAACTAAGACCAAGTCATAGAAATCAAAAAGTAATTCGACATAGAAGAGACCCTGTTGTACATCCAAGTTTTGGAATCAACAAAATTGCTGTACAAACAAAAAGAGACATGGCAGAAGACCTCTCAACATGAAATTAGTCGCCGTTCCGAAAATGCTCTCCCAGGCCTTGCCAAGTGGTATCGTTGTCCTCCCATCCCATCCATTACTCCGTCACCCTCCAAAGGGTCTCCGACCTCCTGCAGTCATAGTTCTTCGTCAAATCCCAAAAATCCGGTTGTTCCCCTCGTAGTATATCCTGTCGTGATAGTAGTGACCAAATAAGCTTCAGCAAGACTTGTGCTAGTGCTATATACGGAGCTTCAAGACCAGCTCGGAGCCTTTCTGTCCATCCGTATGAGAAGCATGAGAAAAAGAAAAAAAAATAAAGGTGACAAATGAACGACAAAGAAGAAGATAAAAGTATAAGAAGCAGAAAAGCTTCCAAGAATCGTCTATGCCAACCTCGATCCGAGGAAGTCCCAATACAGAGTGATGGGGTATCCATCGCTGAAGATTCTTCAGGGATATCTGATATAAAGAAAGAAAGAAAAAAATCAGGGGAAAATGTCGCTCGAACTCCAGTAACACCCATGTCATACTCCAGCATTAAGATATACGGCAGGATCAAATCCATTGGAACAGTTCCATTGGTTAATCCTCAATTGAAAACAAGACAATCTCGCCTTGCTCATTACGCCGTAGTCGAATGGAGCGCCATAGTTCTTTTTCCTCCATGTGCTTGGTCATATCGGTGCCAGCGGCCTTGCGCTCCCGGTGGAATCGCTTGAGAGCCTTGTTCATGCTGCAGCCACGCTCGCTCTCCGGGCCTTTGTCGACAAAATCGAAGAACAGGTCGGCACGAGGCCTGAACACAACCATTTGATTAGAATCCTCACCCTTCTCGCCTTTAGGTTGGTACCCAATGAGTTTAGGGCTCTTTGGGCTCTTCTCTTTGGAGTGTTTAGAGGACGAGTGCTTCTTGGATGAGGAGGAGGTCTTGCGCTTCTTCGTCTTGGTTTTGGAAGAACTAGACTTGGAACTGGACTTGGCGGCAGCAGAGAGCATGCCAAACAGGCTGTTGCTGATCTGGCCTTGCTTGTGGTTCTTCGAGTGCTTGGTCTTCTTGAGAGGGCTGGTCGGCAACGGTTCCGAGCCGTCGTCGCCAGAGTAGTCTGGCGGTGGGGGGAGATGCGCTTTCATCATCCCCTTGAGTCCACCAGTGAGGCCAGAATGGTGGAGAACGGGGGGGGCATCGGTCATGTCTTGGTCTGATGGAATGTCGACGTGCAATCGCTTCCTCTTCTTATCGCCCTTGACGCTATCCTTGTGCTTCTTTCGCTCGCTTCTGGAGGGGGCAGGTGTCTCGAAAGAGCTGTCGCCGTACTGGGGTAGACCTTCGTCATCATCCATGAAGGACGTTGGGTCGAGGAGATCATCGGGCTTCCCTTCGTAGCGAACTAGGGAGGTGCTCTCGGTGGGCATCAGTACTTTCGGCTCATGAGGTAGATCCAAGTTGGAGGCATTTGGCGTCTGGGAGGCGACGAGGAACTCGAACACATCGACCTTGTCGTCGCTGATAGCAGCTGGCGGTGTAGGTGCTTCCGGGAGAAGCTCCGCTGGAGATTTCTCATCATCTGTCTGGCCGAAATCTTGGTAGTTGGCCCACGACTCTTCAGCATCCTCGACATAGGCGTGCTGGGCCATCATGTTGTTGTTGTCGTTGTTTCGTTGTTGGTTGGCACCGTTCTGAGCCTTCGGTTTCTTGTTCTTATCCTTGTAGAGGGCGCCCTGGTATTTCTGATCTTCGGTGATACAGCTCTATGGAATATTTGTCAATGCTATTCTATCAGAAGGCAATGGCCTTGATAGAGACGTACTGTGTGAGAACGGTAGTCGGTTCCGAAGAAGTGCACCATGCAGTCAATGCAGGTGAATGTGGCGCCGTGGCAACGATTTCGATGAGGGTCGAGTTTCTTCTTTGTTAGAATATCGCCGCAGGACTGTTGTTCGCAATGGGTTAGAAATCAAGCCTTCTGGTTGAAGTGGTGTGAGGTGTTTCGAGATTAGAGGAGCTATTGCCGTTGAGTGCAGTGGGGGGTGGCCTTGCGCGCGCGAGGGACCAAGATATATATAAATGGGTTGTAGAATGGGCAAGGGGGGGCAGCAGGCAGGGGATGGTTCAGGACCGCGCGATCAGCGAAACAAGCAAACAATAATCAAACTAGTATTGTATGGAGCCATGGGAGAGGAAGGGGCGCGTGTTTTGGGGGTGAGGGTGGGCAGTGGAGGGCGGGTGTGTAGAGGGAGTGATGTCAGGGCTTCGATGGGTCTGGGGATGGTGGGATGAGTGTGATGGAACTTGGATGCGTCTGGTCCGGTCTAGGATGGAAGCAAGGGTCCGATCATAAGTAGGAAACCTGGCGGCTGTCTCAATGTAGGTACCGGACAGAAGAGGTAGGGGAGACGAGGGAGAGGGGGAGGGGTGAAGGGGCAGGGGGGCGGGTGATGAAAATGGCCATTAACCATCTGAGCTGGGATAAATAAAGAAGGAGTAATCAGCAAGCTATTACACACCTCGCACGAGAAGGAGACCATGATGTCGGGTGGTAAAACCGGGTCTCTGTTTGCTGTCCGTCGTTCTTAGTTGGGCCGGGACTCGATTTGACTGGCTCACGGTATTTCACGGAAGTGCAGTAGAGCAAGCACTGGTCGAATCTTTGGGCGACTATGCAGATGTGCTCGATTGTGACTGGCTGTTCGCGGGTCCTTCTTGAAAGATGCCAGTCTATTCGATAGAGGCCAGAGTTACCGATGCGAAGCAGGGCAGTAAGATCAGTGCCTGAATCCTGCAAATTTTCACGCGCTCTGGCTCTCGTCCGTCTTGTGAGCTGGAGATCTTGGAGGCGGATGGTGATGAGAGGAAGGCTTTCTTTGGGGAGCAGGTTTTGAGAAGGGAGATCCCGCTGCTGTCGGTGGAGGGATCAAGTATGAGAGGGAACCCTAGTCAAGGTGCCAGGCGAGTACTCCGGGATATCTCGAGTGGAGGAAGAGAGGGCGAGGGGGCGCACAAGGGCAATAAAGCTTCGATAATTATGCGAATTTGTGGGAGGAAGAGAAAAAGAAAAGGGAGCACAGATTGATAGATATGGGGGACCTGGAGGGGCGGGAGATGGCTTCACAGATTCTTGGGGGCCTGCGGCTGCGATTGCGCTAGCAGGATTGAGCAAGCTGTGAAACCCTGGTGCACCACAGGCGATGGTAGATCTGATGGAGTGCAGGAGTTGATTCGTGAACGACGACTAGATTGCGCGTCGTAACAGAGAACCTGTAGTGAGGGGTGTCCAGTCTTGGTTGGGCGTGGTGCAAGGGCGCTCGCTGTACCTTGCGTTTTGACGGTGTTGCGGGTAGTGAGGTGATGCGATCGAGGAAAATCACGGGTTCCTGACAATGGCGACAAGCTCTAGACGGGTCCAACGGGCTTTTCTTATGCGGAGCCCTCGTGCAAAATAAGCAAGCAAAGACACGGGGGAAATCTATGAGTTGTTAATGCAGTGCTTGGACGAAGCAAATAATATTGATATGAAGAGCCTGGAGAAAAAAAAAAGATAGAGAAAAAAAAAACGGCCCCTCCAAGGTGCAGTGATAGACTCACCACACTCTTATTTTGCGAACCCCCTCCAGCACCTTTAGCGCCTCCACAACAACCACGCGCCAGCTGCCAAAGGCTGGCTTTGACCCCGCGCTGATTGGCCGCGTTCAGCCCCAAAAGGGGAGGCTCATTTAAAGCAGGGTCACATGGAGAGCACCCGGCACCCCCAGGGTGGTGTGAGTAGAATGTGGGATTGCGATGGCAGCTGCCGTTTACTGTTTGGAGTTCGGTGCAAGCAGGTATCGCACGGATCGTTGGCTTCGAACTGTGAATCAGCATGGCTACATGCGTGTGTGATGTGGTATCCGCGGGGACAATCGATGCTGACTTTGCTTGTGCGCATCTACGGAAAACAACTGAGGCGCTGGACTTGTTCTTACTTGGCCCGGTCGTTATCATGCATAAATGTTGTTACGTAGGTAGGTGCCTTCCTCCTTCCTTCCCTGCCCACTAGTAGGTATTATTAGTAGGCAGGTACGACTGGGGGCCACTCTGCTTGGCAGATAGCGCTTGTACCCGGGTACTTGCATTGCGCGCTTCGCCTCCCGCTGAAAACCTGGAGCTGTTTTCTTTCTTTCTTTGCGACGCATGATTTTGGCCTCTCAACAAGCAATTGCTGATTGACAATCAACTAACGCCGATTGCATTGCTACAATCATGCTCCTTGACGAGCACCTGATACACACCTGACGAATTCTGCTGTTAGCAGCTGTGCCGGTCCTCTCGGCAGTCGCATCACTATTGGAAATCGGATTTATTTTTATATGATACTATATCTAGAAGTACCTCGACTAATACGGCCTCGGACTTCCAGCCGCGACAAGGCCCATCCCATCCGTGGGTAAGAGTAAGTAGCCCGTACCTGCCGTTCTGTAAGCTGCAAGGGAGAGCCAATGTGTCGTCGCTCCTTTAACCAGCGAAGACATTGACATAACGATGGCCCGCACTATTGCACTCCTATTACGCGCTACAAGAATATTGGCAAATGAAAATACCTGCACCGGTTGAGGAGTAGCTGGCTGGAATGCATATTCTCTCCCCTTGCTTTACTTGCGTGCGCCTTACATGTGCACGGCCAAATACCCTGGTCAGGTCTTGGAAGCTGGCTGTATTAGCTGTCAACGCCTCACCACCCACCTACACCATGCGATGTACCCATTTTGCCGGATTGCGCCAATTTCGCTGTTCAGTATCTCAGAAGCGTGGAGCACCCATCGTCCGATGGGCTGGCAAAAAAAAGGCAATTTACACATGAGATCACGGCCCATCATCTGATCTCAGTATAATCTCCCCTATCAATACTTGCGCCCCTCTTAACCCATATTGACGCATCTGAACATTGGGTAGTCATTGCTCTCTGTGGGTACCTATGTATGATGGTGGCCAAGAACATGTACATTCTCTTCACTATTACGTCGATGGCCAACTTGGGTAACCCTCGTTGGTTGATGGATGCCAGATCAAGTGCGGTTAGCAATGTCTCATCCGCGACTGATCTGCTTCCCACCTATTGCACATCCGACTCAGATGCTGGCGAGCTAGGCCCAATGCGTTGCGAATGACCTCCTGTGATGCCGCAGATCGAGAATGCACGGCAGGGGCTACAGGGATACGAAGGCCGTACGTTGTATGCACATACCTACATAGGTACGCACAGAATCAACAGCAACCGCAGCTCTCTGGGCTGAGACGGCAGCATGTTTCAGGGGACATCCCTGGACCGGAGGGGATGTGGTACGAACGTAGGTATGGGAATGGGGTCATGCGCCAAAGGTGACCTCCACCAACCAATCCACTAACCCACCAACCAATTAAGTCGACTGTGCCGTTCCATGTTCTGTTTCCACCTGTTCAAGTCGGTTTAGAAAAGTTCCCCATCTAGTTGCGGCCAGGGAGGGACAGCCTAGGTAGGAAAGTAGGAGGAGGGTCTTGGGCGCCCTGATCGGGACATGGCTTCCAGAACAGTGGGTGGGGGGGGTTATAGGCCGTTCTCTCTTCAGATCTGGTTACAACCAAGCATTGATCAGAAGTTTAGAGCTAATAAAGACCGTTTCCATCTATTTCTACGAAATCCGGACATCTTCTGCACACTACGGGGAAACATGGCCTCTAGTTACGATGCTTACCAGACGTCCTTGACGAGCCGATATTGCAGTTTCATGTGTTTGGCGTTGCTGCTCCAGCTGCTGTGGGCGTGTTGCATCTGGGAGCATTGAGCTGTTTCATCACTGACAACACCAAGTTGATTCCGATGCAAGGTGTCCTGGATCTGTTGACCAAAAAAAAAAAAATAGCTCAAGTTATTTTTAATGTTAGTTCCTTCGCGCTGGAGTGTAAAGGTAACATCATTGACAATATTATACCCGTAGTCATAGACAGGTTCGCTGACTTTTATTTAGCCGGGCCTACTCTTGCATACGCACACCTTCAGGCAGCTCAGCTGATCACTGTTGGAAGCCGAGCAGCCGCTTGGGTACAAGATCTCATGCTCGACCTCCACAGTATCGAGCAAGTCCGCAATGGATGATCGCGGTGCTCAAGGGGCGACTGGGACGCAGGCCAGCTATCTCTCCATCTTTTATGGCGATGCTTCAAAATGTGACCAGTCAAACGACCTTTTATGTCAGAAGTTTGAGTTTCTAGCTATGATTTCTCCTCCCACACATATACACGAAAGGTTGACTTGATCAATGCTAATGCGGTTGCGGGTCTTGGTTGTACGGCGCAGAAGATAAGGGGAATATCCACCATCTTGCGCATTGGAAAGAGATTGAAGAGGTCCGCCCCCTTGAACTCGGATGGAAGTACTGACTCTACGACAGCCCGTTGAGTCTTCGCAGATTGGATCTTCGGCCATGGTGAGTGCTCTGGAATTAGTGTCCTATCTCAAGTACTAACTGTTAAATTATTATTGGCATACAAGCGTAGTCCAGTTCGTATCTCGACTAATTTCCACTTATCTATTTATTCTGACTGTTATAGATGGGCTCTGACAGAGAGTCTACACATTAGCTTGTGAGCTGCTATTTAAGCCGGCCACATTTGCGAACACTCATGAAGATCAATGGGTAAGTGGTATAATACTCATGGAGCAGTGCTTCAAGCTAACCTATTTTTTTTCAAGTGTGAGCGAACTCTAGATGGTAGTGTTGTTCGAAGTAGGTTCCAGTGGTTTTAAGATGACTTTGGCGAGTTGTACAAAGTCAATGAACAGGGTTCGATACCTGAGATGATGCTTCTTGCAGATGTCATTTGTATTAGGTTTGTGAGATGAACATCCATAAACTGCTCTGGATTATACTAATATCCTACTTTCTTGCTAGGATAATATGTCCAATGGTTCTTCAAATATATTGCAGCCCATGTTCAAGCGGCGGCACTGGTTCCTTATTCAGAGTGCATCAAGAGCTTCAAGAAGGTGGAGCTCAACACCTTGTGGAATTGGATGATAAGGAATCGGTAAGCGCCCAGGTAGCACACCCTCTGAAAGTGTGTAGCTACTTAGCGCCAGCATCATGCTCGCGACCCTGACCAGCCAAGAATTGGTGTCAAGTACATGATGGTTACTTCTGCTGGGCTTAGACGTGTTCTGCGACGTCGACCCGGACCGTTATCTCAATAAGACAAGACATCAGGTTTGCACATCGTAGAAACAATTCCACGAGCTGATCGCGTTCCACGCTGACCAGTTTGGCAAGTGGCATTGGGGCTGTTGCGTTCCCCTACATGGGTCTTACTAACCAACTTGCCTGAAAGGGGAGATGGAAGGGGTAAGATGTATTCTTAGCATCAGGCACGGCTCCATGCGTCTGTCAGATATCTAGATAGAGCTACAGTAGGAGTAAGAGCCCTACCTGACTGGATTAGGCATTGAACACTCATCTGGGGGTTGCCATGTATTATGTGCCTAACGCGATCGGCATCCATCTCTGCTCGGATCTTGAGACACAATGATACCCGTTTGGGAAAGCTGGCACTGATGCCCTCATGCTGAACGGACATTTACTCATATGAGCCACACTATTTACTGCTAGCACCGCATCCTCTCGTAACCAACTGCTTAGCATCCTTAGTACGTCCTTGGGCCTCTGATGGTCTGATGGTCGGACGTCTTGTCCCGCACAATCCACTGGGAGGCAGGTACCAAGTACTGCTGGACCAATCGGGCGGTAAATTGCATCTCTGGCTTCAGATGGAGCCAACATGCGGCGTCCGCCTACATACCGAGGCGACCAAACACATCCGTGATAAGTGGCTATGCTACCCAGCAATGGGCCATCGTGATGCTCTGTTTTCGCATTTGCGTAGATGCCTAGTTGAATTGCCTCAATGCGCTCGTCATCTTCCTAGATACCGGTGTTCCTAGTGACCCCGAGGCAGATTTCCTCCATCCTCATCTGGGAAGTTGGGCAGGCGACTTGGTAGATTGCTGCGGGAATGTACCTCAAACTAGTAGTACCAAGGCAAGTTTTGGGCGCAGATTGCAGGTACAGGATGAAGCCCTCTCAAAAGCCTCCTTGGCGAGTCAAACAGCCTGCATCTGCGGATCAACTGCTTCTCTGGCTGCTCACACAACGGCCTTTGCCCCCTTGGTGAAATGACCGTTTCTGCTAGTAACCTGCTGGCGGGCGGGTATTTGTGGCTCCTTGGTGGCAGAAGTCCCCTGACGGAGGCTGTAATTACAGCTGCGGACAAAGGTAATTAGTTGGTCTGACTAACTGAAGCCAACTGAATTGTGCTGCCTGGGACGCCTGCCAGACAGCTAAAGAGCTAAAGAGGCCCCAAATCCACCTCGCCTACAGGGACACTTTCCAATTGCCTTCCAGATCACAACAACCTTGAAGCCTTTCCACCTCCTCAACCTCAATTAGGCGGTATCGCAGGCCAGCTCGAGCTCCCTCGCCTTCGCACGGGCTCTGACACCCTCCCTCGCAATAGCCTGGCCAGCGCTGCCGCTCTCTTCAAATGCCTGCCTGCCCTCGATGCCCGAGCGTCCCTCCACTTCCAAATCCGATTCTTCTCCGCCTTCTACGATGAGTGTCTACCTGCAACAGACCGCCGACGTCTTCAGCTCGGTGGGAAGCTACCTGCGTCTGCCAGCACTTGCATCAACCGTACGCCATACCCCCCACCGATTGGAATGCAGGAGAGGGAGAAATTCATGGGATACTGACGTTTTACCAATCACAGGGCATTGCTGCAGTCCTCACAGCACTCCTTTACTTCAAGCAGAAGTAAGTCCAGCAGCTCCTCTTGACACATCCGCCCCACGCCAGACCAACGCACCCACCGGGGAGTCCTGACCTCCTGTCACACTAAAATAAAGCAAGGGAGAAAAAGGAAACCTATCACTAACGAGCGCTTTTTTTTTTTTGTCTTGCTTCTAGGGCTCTCATCTACCCTTCGCATATGCCCCCCAATTCTCGAACCGATGTCCCCCAACCATCACAGTTCGGACTCAAAGACTATGAAGAGCTCGTGATCCCCACCGAAGATGGCGAGAAGCTCTCCGCCTTTTATATTCGCGGGCCATTCAGCTCCCGCAATTCAGATGTCACCATCTTGATGTTCCACGGCAATGCCGGGAACATCGGCCACCGCCTCCCGATTGCACGGACGCTCACGAACCTCATCGGTTGCAATGTTTTCATGCTCGAATACCGGGGTTACGGCACTTCCACCGGCGAGCCTGACGAGGCCGGTCTCAATCTCGACGCCCAGACTGCCTTGAGCTATTTAAGAAGGAGGGCGGAGACCAGAGATCACCGGTTCATTATATACGGACAGAGTTTGGGCGGTGCAGTGAGCATCAAGCTTGTGTCCAAGAACCAGGACAAGGGCGACATCGTGGGCCTCGTCCTGGAAAATACCTTCCTCTCCATGCGGAAGCTTATCCCCTCCATAATACCTCCCGCCAAGTACATGACACTCCTCTGCCACCAAGTCTGGCCTAGCGAATCAACGCTACCCAACATCACAAAGGTGCCAGTCCTGTTCCTGAGCGGCCTTCAGGATGAAATCGTCCCGTAAGTTATCAACACTTTTGCTTTTCCTTTCCCAAGAGTATACCCCACAAAAAAAAAGGCCTTATGATGATCAAATTTGCATCACCCACAAAATCTGAACCCTCGTGGTCAGGATTAGAAACCTAGAATGTCTTCTGATTGCCTTTACTTAACCCAACTTGTTATACACTACTGTTTTCCGTGGGGTACACCTATTAACCTATCATGCTTTGCAGGCCGAGTCACATGCGTCAGCTATACAACGTCTGCGCCGCGCCAACCAAGAAGTGGCGGCCGTTCCCCGGTGGCGATCACAACTCGAGCGTTCTAGAGGAGGGTTACTTCGAGGCTATTGCCGACTTTATCGCTGAGGTCACAGATGAGACGGTAGCCCGGCCCAAGGAAAAGCAGTGAGATCCACACGAAGTAACTGGGAAGGGCGGGCATTCAGTGGATCGGATGGTGTAGAACACCACCCAGCATGGTAGATTTTGGATATAGTCTCTGACCCGCTTGACCTATCTTACGTATGTTACGAATGATACCCCCCCAATACCACCTTGGGTGCAAGATGCGCAGGCGATAACGCCATCATTTTCCGTCTATGTGAGGGACCCGAGCCACACCAGTCGGGGTCGGTCTTCGGTGTGGCACATCAGGATGGGAACTGCTGTGAGACATACATGCATAAAGCCTTTCATGTAGATAGGTAGCGCCGATAGCAGGGTGGGTTGTATGGATGTCGACGTACGCAAAGGAGGGGATCTATTCGCTCCATGTGACTGGTGATTGCCATAGCGCCGATTCTCCTGCGAACCGATTTGCCGCGTGACTTCGCTACCACATACGGGCGCTCTCTCGATGGGACCCCAACATGGAACCCAAACTGGAACCATCGCTGTCGCTCACCGCTCCTCTTCTGAACCAGGGTAACCCTATGACATTCCATTCTACGGCAGAGAGGTGGGAAGCACAGAGGGTGTAGATACGAGGATGAGACATGGAGAAGAGACAAGGCAGGAAAGACGACGAAAAACAAGGTCAGGCGGGCAGGCTCGGAAAGGAAGGACGCAACGGGGATCGCTAGCTCTACTGGTTTCTCTTTGTATTGCTGTGTCCGTCCTCTCTAGTTCTATCTAACCAAGCTAGCTAGCACTCGACGTCGCCGCCCAGAGCGTTCCACGGCCTCTCGGGGGCCTTGTCCGCCTTCTTCTTCCGCAGGCCCAGCATGAGCCGCTTGCCGGTGCCCTTTGCGGCCGCTGGCTCGTCCGCAGCAGGCCGTGGCGACTCCTTGCCCGTGGCGGCCCTGCCGGCCACGGCGCTCCAACCGGAGGCGTCGTGGTTCCTCCTGCCGGGGCCCTCGCGCCGCGTGATGTCGTTCTTGCCGTCTACGTGGCAGAGGAGGACGTTGCCGGCGAGCTTGCTGCGCTGGATGGTCTCGGAGAGGCTGGCCTTGACGGCGCGCAGGGTGCCCTCGATGGCGGTCGGGGAGAGGAAGGCCGAGTACTGGGCGGTGGCGCGGATGAGGACCTCCTCGGAGGGGAGGAAGTCGATGTTGAAGTGGAAGCCCGGGTGGCTGGCCAGGTCGGCGGAGAGGGCCTCGCGGAGGTCCTCGATGGTGAGCCCGAAGCAGGGGGAGGTGAGGACGAGGGCGTTAAGGGGGTCGGCGGGCGGCGTGGGAGTGGCGATGGCCTTTGCCGCCGCCGCGGTCGCTGCGGCCTCGGCGGCCTCCTTGTCCCTTATCTTGACGCACTGGGCGATGGTCTTGGAGGGCGCCGAGACGAACCTGGGTCCCTTGAAGACGACGACGTGCCGGTGGGACCCGGTGTCCTCGCTCTGGTGCTCGAGGCCAAAGTCCTCGGCCAGGAGGTGGAGGAACTGCCGCTGACGCTGGGGTGATGGCTTGTATCGTATACGGACCTCGTCCGTGCTCTGGGAGAAGACACGGAACTCCCGCTCCTGTGCCTCTGCCCAGCTGCCCAGCTCCCTGTAGAGCACGAGTGTCTCATCCTGGTACGGGATGTGGTTGGTAAGTGGCGTAGTGGTATCAATATTCAGCGCCGCTGCGAGACGTCTGTTCCGCTCTTGACGTAAACACTCATCATCGCACTTGATCTCGGGACGCTCAGGGGTTGGGTTGGAGCTGCTCGTGAGACACTTCACCTGCTGT